TCATATGGTACAACCTAAGGAATTTCCCTTCTCTAATTATGGGGGTAATGCTATGGTACATATCCCTCAAAAGGTGTGTACCATATGCATACCTATTACGCATTTTTGTGGGATATGTTATGTATTTTTGTAGTAAATAATGTTACGTATTTTGTTTAATATGACAATTTGTAATTAAAAAATAAAGTTATGCATTTTGTAACAATATTACGTATTTTTGTGGTCATGTTACATATTTTTTATTATAAAAATATTTAAATAAAAAAATATATAACATTACCACAAAAAATGTGTAACTTTATTTTTTTAACTACAAATTATCATAACTTTATCAAAAAAAATGACGTAACATTTACCAAAAAAATGTATAACATATACTACAAAATGTATACAATATGGTACATATGGCACACATCTTAAATCAATTAGGCCTAGCCTAGTTGTCCACCATGGGCTTAGTCTTAAATGAGAGGTTATGTGTTCAACTCTTGAATTAGGAGGCAAATACTTAGGCCATGTTTGATTCACAAGATTAATTGTGAATGTATTAATAATTTCATCAAATTAATGTGGTATTCACTATCCAATTGGATTAGTAGGATAAATTATCCCATTGTCTATTGTTTGATTTGTATTGGATAAAAAAATTTATGAATGTAAGATTACAACTATATTTATCTTCTTTTTCAATTTTACTCTTCATCAATGTTTTTTCATAATTTTTATTTTATCAAAAAATTTTCATAAATGTGGTTTTGAAAAAAATTATAAATAAATAAATAAAAGCAAAATAAAAATACAAAATACAAAGGCCATGTTTGGTTTGTTTTTAATTTTTTTTTTTTAAAAAAATATAAACAAATTTGATAAAATAAATATCAAAAAATATTTTTAAATTTTAAAAAATTATTTTTAGCTTTCTAAAATATGAATTTATTTAAAAATAATAAGTGTTTTAATTTTTAGTCCAGGGTAAAAGAGGCTTTTTATTTTATTTTCCAGCTCAGGATATATAATCTCACATCTACCCCATTACTAATAATCTTACAAATTTATTGGATTAATTATCCATTAAATTAATTATCCTAAAACAAAATTTTAAAACAAACACAGGATTATTGGGTTCATGGATTAATAATCACAATCCCATACTCTAATCTTGTCAATCAAACATGCCCTTAGTGCTTTGTAAGGGTGGGGAGGTTAGCTCCCATATGTGCTAATCTAAACAACTATTTTTTTGCTAATTAAAAAAAAAAAAAGAATTTATAAACACCTTAAAAAAAAAAAATTTATAAACACCTTTTTTAAATTGGGACAATTACAACAGTAAAAATTTAAATAATTTTAATTATTAATATTTATAATTTTTTTCACTTTTTTATAATTAATATTTTCTGATATCATTGTCAAGTTATTTATACTTTAACATTTCGCCTAATTTCTCCTAATGGTGAAGTACTCTTTGAGCACGTCTGTTTGGAGGGATGGGAGCATTCACTGTTCAGTGGATGGAATAATTTATTGTTTGGTTAAAAAATTTTGCACCAGGCTAATAGTCTCTCATATATGGGACACTTCTATCACAGAGGGAGTGTAGGACAAAAAACTCAAAATAAGCTTAGGATTGAGATTATCCTGAGTTTATTGAAATAAAATTAAAATCTCAACTAAAATAAAAATGAAATAAAATAAAATTGTATTTTAGTAAATTAAAAGTACAATTTATTTAATTAAAAGTTCAATTTATTCATTTTATTTATTTAAAATTTCAATTTATTTAAATGTTCAAATTAAAATAAAATTCAAATATCTCAATTAAAAATTAAAATAAAATTATATAATTTTTATTGATGTTCTACTTATTTAATTTTTTAAAAATTATAGTAAAATAATTAAATAAAATAAGATATACATCAGATTCAAGAAAATAGTTCAATCTAAACATCTAATTTCATGACTAAACAATATGATTCGATAAAATAGTTCAATCAAAATATCTAATTCCATTACTAAACAAATATAAAATACAAATCAAATCTAACGAACAATATATTTTAAGACTAACAATCTAATAAATTATAATCCTCTATATCCATAAAATTGTATTTTAGTAAATTAAAAGTACAATTTATTTAATTAAAAGTTCAATTTATTCATTTTATTTATTTAAAATTTCAATTTATTTAAATGTTCAAATTAAAATAAAATTCAAATATCTCAATTAAAAATTAAAATAAATTTATATAATTTTTATTGATGCTCTACTTATTTAATTTTTTAAAAGTTATAGTAAAACAATTAAATAAAATAAGATATACATCGGATTCAATAAAATAGTTCAATCTAAACATCTAATTTCATGACTAAACAATATGATTCAATAAAATAGTTCAATCAAAATATCTAATTCCATTACTAAACAAATATAAAATACAAATCAAATCTAACCAAATAATTCAAGAACAATATATTTTAAGACTAACAATCTAATAAATTATAATACTCTATATCCAATCCGTCTAAACAAATGGAAAATTTAAGACTATCAAAGAGTTCTTGAACAGGACATGGTATGAATTAGGGGTAGGCGCGGGTCGGTTGCGGCCACAAAACCTCTAATCCGCCATCCGTCCACCAGATTGACGGATTGGAGAAAATTAACCACATCCGTCCGCTAATCCGACGGATGTAGAGTGAGTGGATTGGTGGTTGAGCGGATGGATGCGAATCGGTTTGGCGGTTTAAAATTTTATAAATTTTCAACATAATTTAACTTGTGCACTTCCTCAAAAAAAAAAAGAAAAAAAGAAAGTATTACAGTCAATGACTTAAAAAAATATTACAATCATTGCATGCCTCATCCAAAGTAAGAAAGTTTGAAACTTTAGAACGTCAGAATCACTGCACGTCTCATCCACATACTACAATCACAGCATGCATCATCCACATAAAGTATTACAATCTGTGGTTCTTAAAATAGAAAAACAATTCAAACCACTAAAACTATGAACAGAGCAATAACAGAGATTGTATGTCTCTTCCAAATCTTCCCAACACAACCCAAGACTCAAAATAAGAAAATAATGAATGACAACAACAATTATACAATGACGGAATCTACGGAACCTAAGTCCGGATACAATAATCAAATGGGAAAAGACCGGGGTCGCTATAATCAAAGAGTTCTTGAACAGGACATGGTATGAATTAGGGGTAGGCGCGGGTCGGTTGCGGCCACAAAACCTCTAATCCTCCATCCGTCCACCAGATTGACGGATTGGAGAAAATTAATCCACATCTGTCCGCTAATCCGACGGTTGTAGATTGAGTGGATTGGTGGTTGAGCGGATGGATGCGAATCGGTTTGGCGGTTTAAATTTTATAAATTTTCAACATAATTTAACTTGTGCACTTCCTCAAAAAAAAAAAGAAAAAAAAAAAAGAAAGTATTACAGTCAATGACTTAAAAAAATATTACAATCATTGCATACCTCATCCAAAGTAAGAAAGTTTGAAACTTTAGAATGTCACAATCACTGCACGTCTCATCCACATACTACAATCACAACATGCATTATCCACATAAAGTATTACAATCTGTGGTTCTTAAAATATAAAAACAATTCAAACCACCAAAACTATGAACAGAGCAATAACAGAGATTGTATGTCTCTGTATTGTTATATCTATATCTGTTTTTGAAAACAAAAATCAACCAGCATATATCATATTTTCTATTTATTATTTTCAGAGATAGATTTAAAAACAAAAAAATATAGATAAATAATATGTTTATTTTTTTCAATTCAAAAAAGATATTTAAGTCGAAAACTTTTTTTCAACAGAATATTTAAATTCTTTTTTAATTGAAAAAACAAACATAATATTTAAACAAACTAAAAACACAAAGTCTTATAAATTACTAGGGGTGCTCGCGGTTTGACGGTTCGGTTGCAGCCAAAGGAATCTCAAATTCGCCATCTGTCCGCCAAATTAGGGGATTGGAGAAAATCAATCCGCAACCGTCCGCTCGTCATCACGCATCCGTCCAAAATACAATATATCGGTTCGATTCGATCCGATTAATTTTAACGGATTGATATATCCGCTGCTCAACCCTATTCGAATATATGAGACTAGTAAACCACGACAAGAGCTGTGTATCCAATAAAACGACTATAAATTTAACAATAAACTAATAATTTTTCATTATATGTGATGTGATAGATACAAACACAAATTAAAATAAATTTGATTCGTGCCTTAGTTGTCTTGTCTCCAAAATGTTTTGAGGCTTTTGTAGAAAAAAATATTTTGCCAGCTCTAAATTATGAACTCTAATGTTGTGTTTAGTTGATTGTTTTAGGGAGAGATTTGAAAATGAAAAGAGAAAAAGTGTATGAAATTAAAGGTTGTTTGAGATGTCCTAAATAAGTATAATTTTTGAATTTTTAAACTAAAAAGTTGAGGAAAAAAATATGGTTGTTTGGATTAACTTTTTAACTTTTTATGGAAAAATGTGTATTAAAAAATTATATAAATTAGTGTGTAGAGAAAAATTAAGATTGAGAGTTGTACAGTCGTAATTTTTGACATTTAGTGAATAGTGATAACTTTTTAACTTTTTGAGTAATTTTTTAACTTTTTTTTCAACTCGTCAAACTTGGCCTAAGTGAAATGTAAGTATATTTTATTCACATTTCATTTAACTTTTTTCTTTATCTTTTTAAATCTCTTCTCAAATTTTCCAATCAAATATAACGTAAAGAAACTCTGGGATAAACCTTATTTATTGATGTAATGTTTCGGTTTTAATTTTTCTTTTTCTTTATTTGTTTGTTTCTTTGTTTTTTTTTTTTATTTTAAATTTCACCTCATTAAAATTAGAGGATGTTTGTGGAATTCTTGAGATAGTCGCACACGCAACGCAACACATTCCACAACCACAAAAGGAAGATTCAAGTGGGCCGCCGCCAGAATCACAACATTTTAACGGTAACGTAAGCAACCAAAATGGTCTCTCTGTCTCTCATTAAAAATTCTCCCAAGAAGCCGAGTTACTTGTTCAACTCGAAAATGGGAGCTCTGCGCCCAAAATTTGATCTCAACCCAACCTATCTCTCTTCAATCTCTTCAAAACTACCAAAACCCAGTTCAGTTCTGCTGTACTCGCATCAATTTCCATTGTCGAATCATCATATTCTCAGAAAATGCAGAGTATCTATCCCTCAAATTTCAAAGTGTGATACACAAATTAGCTGTGAAGAGTTGGCTAGAGATAATAAAAAATTGACAGATGATAAACATGTGATTAGATCGATTGCAAGAGGAGTTGTCAGTTTGGCTGCTGCAGCAGCGGTGGCTGCAATTTCCATTTCCTGCGACTCTCCTCCGCCGGCTCTTGCGGAGTCTTTAACGGTTGCATTTCCTGCTTCTCGTGCTCCTGAGGTGATTTCTGTTTCTTTGTTTTCTTTTTCTTTTTGTTTGATGTTGTTGTTGTTGTTGTTGAGACTGATTGATTAAGTCAATTGGGTTGCTATATTCACAATTGGGTCAGTTTTTGTAATGGCTATTGCTTATTTGGTGGAGTTTCATTGATAGGTGAATACAGTTCAGAGAACTCTTGTGGAAGCTTGGGGTTTGATTAGAGAGACCTTTGTTGATCCCACTTTTAATCATCAAGGTAATAATATATCACAACTCCCTCTGTTTGGTTGCCAAGAAACCAAGTGATTCAGTGGAAAGAAAGAAATAACCTAACCCCATTAAACTGCCCTAATAAAAACGATTTCATCACGTGTCTTTTTTGTTTAATATTTTGCCCCGTTTGGGTATTACTTATAAATTACCTTTTATTATTAAAACTTTTTAAATTATTAGAGCTTAAAAGATTTTAAATAAGTTGTAAATATGTTTGGTAGACCTTCTCATAATATGTATATAAAAGAAAAAACTTTAGCTTGTTTAGTTAAATAAGTTATTGCATAGTTTTTTTGTTGTGCAAATATTTAAGATGCCCTCAAAAGTTATAGTTACGGAAACAGAAATGGGGCTCTTTTGTCTATATAAGTATTTAAAGGCTTCAAATAAGCTTCTCTTTTTTTTAAAAAAAAAAAAAAGGTTACAAATTATAAGTTAAAGAAAATCTCTCCTTTTTTTATTTTTTATTTTTTTAAAATATGTTTTGGGCCAAATAAGCTGAAAAAGTCAAATAAATTATAATTTAAAATTGCAACCAAACCCCATCGGTAATTTTTTTTTTTAATCAAATAAACTAAATAAGTTGACTTAAAAGTGCTACCAAACGGGGCCTTTGCCCAGTTTCTCAGCAACCAAACAGAGAGAAAAGTTAAATTGACAGCATCTACTTTTTTGCAGACTGGGATTTGAAGCTGCAACAAACAATGGTTGAGATGTTTCCACTTAGATCAGCAGATGCAGCATATAACAAAATCCGTGGAATGCTTTCCACACTTGGAGATCCCTTTACTCGGATTGTCAGCCCAAAGGTCTTCTACTCACTTCCCATTGTTCTTGAAGATAAAATATTTAGTTTGATTAGGTTTTCAATAGGGAAAAATATTATGATTACTTGACCTGACAATGTGGTGTTGTCATGAATCTCTTGAATCTTAATTTTCTCAATTGTCTTCTTTGAAAATTTTATTTTGAAGTTGAGTCTTTTTATGCAAACAGAATCTTTGCAAACTATTCAGGCTGCAGAGGAATTTCACTCGAGTTTACCCAACCGTATCAAAATAAGATTCAATTTCAATCTGACTTTGGTCTTTTACTTCCAGGAATACCAGAGTTTTAGGATTGGCAGTGATGGAAATTTGCAAGGAGTTGGCCTGTTCATAAATGTAGAACCGAAGAGTGGGCATTTGGTAAGTGACACCCATAAAAGCACTTTCTTCTCATTGTCATATACATTATCCAATGCTTTAACTGACTTATGAGGAAGAAGAAAAAAGTCAATGCATCAATTGAATTGCAGCATTGCTAGTGGGACTTAGTACATGTTTCTGATTTTAAAATAGGAACCCCATTATTAACATGGATTATAAATATCTATGTTATGTAATTTGGGATGAAGAAGGTATGTGAGTATAGGTGTGGATCCTTGAAATTTCAATAGGACACATGGTAGCATCTTGTAAAGGAAATCTATATTTGAATTGCTTACTTTTATAGACAAGTAGTCTAGTTCTCACAAATATATTAGATGCATTATTTTGTTTAATAAGGACACATCTAGTTTCCCTTCTTCTGATAATTAGCAAAGCACTATTTGATTTTTATTTTGCATGTCATACACAAGAGTTTTGGAAAGGATGATTAATAATGTTGCTACTTTCTCTCTCTCTCTCTCTCTCTCTCTCCCCTCTCCCTTTTTGTCCATCTAGGTAATTTGTTCATATTTCATGACATAAGTTCTTAAGATGCAAATGGACTCAGATGCTTTCTTAGTTTTGCAGGTTGTTATGTCTTGCGTAGATGGCAGTCCAGCTGCTCGTGCTGGTATACATGAAGGGGATGAATTAGTTGAGATCAATGGTATGTACTGATCACATTTTTACCTTTACCAATTCACGAGTCTGAAATACAGTTGCTATCTCTTTTAAATGTGTTTTAAATGAACAATTTTATTATCCTGCGGACCCTAAATCATTTGTTGACAATTGCTACTGGGAATTTTTAATCTTATTTAGCATAAAGTACTTTGACTATTTAGTTAGTTTCATAAAATGTTTTAGCTCAAGCAGGATTCAATTTTTGGATTAAGCTGGATTCATTTGTAATCATGATACATGAATCATGTAGATAGAACTTCATCTTTTTTCCTCACTCCCTGTTTTTTACTTTTGCATTCCATGAACAACATTCCCACACAAATAACAGAATATGGTTTCTTTATGGAATCTAGTGGGCAATGGTCACTTTTTCAGTATTGTCATAGAATAGAGGTTGTCTTTCTGGATGAAAAAAAGCTTTATTCATGTTAACAACTGAAACGATGGTTCTTAAGAGTGCTGATTAGTTTTAGTGGACAGACAAGAAGAGTTTTGAAAAAGGAAAACTTAGTGAAAGTTACCTTTGATATTCACAATGACAAGTTTTTGGTTTCACTCTGTTATCCTTTTAGGTTGATAAAATATTTGCCAAATTTGTTTATATTTTATTTCGTATCCAACATTTCAATCTGAAAAGAGCGACTTGGCCCAACAATAAGGCATACTGAGAAAACAATGGGTAAACTCGTGCTCACTTTTAGTATGTATTCTAATTTCTTTATGAAGGACACAATCTTAGCTGTATGGGGTTTATTCTAATTTTTCCTAAGGTTGTTTTTGGGATTCCAGGAGAGAAGCTGGATGGTATTGATAGTGAAACAGCAGCACAGAAACTGAGAGGGCGTGTTGGAACAAGTGTCACTGTCAAACTCCACAATGTAATCATCCAACTCTTAATGTGTACTAATTGGGCATTGTTTTTTTTTATCCTTTTTGCAATATGCATGTGTCATTCGCCAACGGTGATGAATGAAGAATATCAAAATGGTTTTTATCAAAGGGTTTTAACATTGGTAGACCAATAATATATCTAACACATTTTCTACAGTCAATGTTATCAAGCTATTGACAGTAGGAACTTAGCACTTAAAGTTTGATATAATCATTCTTGATCAAAATCAGAATTTCTCATCATTTATAGGTTTATCATCTGATCTAATGTTGTTTTGTTCTTCAGGATAATGATTGGGAAAGCAATTCTGGTTTGAGAGAGGTATTCAATTGATACCATGTATTGCATTGACAAAATTTGTTTCATATCCTAACATCTAATGTACAGATTGTGGTGTGTTGCAGTATATGAAATTAATTCTGATGTTTTTTATTTTGGAAATTTGTCGACTTATTTTAATGGAACTGATGTAGAATTCTCCCCCATCTGCTTGAAGGTCAATATAACTCGGGAGATCATTAAGCTTTCCCCTATATCCAGCTCGATCATCCCTCATACAACTCCAGATGGCCATCTATTGAAGACTGGATATGTAAAGCTGTTAGCATTCTCCCAGGTAGTTTTAGATTAGTCATCTTTTTCTAATCTTTACAGGTTCGGTTTTCTTCAGATATGTTTTTTTGTGTTAATCATGAGTAAATTTCTGTGTTCTAATATCACAGACTGCTGCTGTTGATATGGAAAACACGATTCATGATATGGAGAACCAAGGTGTACAATCATACATACTGGACCTGAGGAATAATCCAGTAACTTCCTAATTCTTAGCAGCTTGATTGAGATTTGAATTTTTTTTTTCTGAAGTTCATTCACTTGCTTTGCTGCCATTTGTTTATGTTATTCAGAAATATTTCTTCTAAATCCTTGGAAAATGTTTTTACAGGGAGGTTTAGTGAAAGCAGGACTTGATGTTGCCCAAATGTGGCTAGATGGAAATGAGACTCTTGTAAACACAATTGATAGGGATGGTAATATGGCACCTATCAACATGGCCAATGGCCATGCCATAACACATGATCCGCTTGTTGTGCTTGTAAGTTTTGGACTTCTAATTTAAATTTCTTCTTTTTGGGAAACCCATATTTCTTTGTAGTAATCTTCATAGTATACTTTTTATTTATTTTTCTTGTGATGTTTTCTTTTACAAAGTTCTACAGTACTTCAAATTCCACAGTTGCTTAAAAAGCCTTCCCTTACCCTCCAATAGGAATATAATGGCCTTAAAGGTTGACTGTCACATTTTGATTCGTTGGAACAGGTGAATGAAGGAAGTGCAAGTGCAAGTGAGATTTTGGCAGGAGCACTACATGACAATGGCCGAGCTGTCCTTGTTGGGCACAAAACCTTCGGGAAAGGAAAAATTCAGGTACTGCTAATTACTTTGAAGAGTGAGAAGTTTTCTATTAGCTTATTTTGTCACTCCTGCACTTAAGATGCAAAGCCTTAGTGCATTGAAGTACCTATTTCATATAGGAAATGTGAATCAGACATCAAATGTGCATCTCACCTTCATGGTTCAAATCCTTGTTTGTTTGCTTGTTTCTTTGATCTTCATTGCATAACAAGATAATACAAGAGTTCAGCTAATACAATAGGCCCAACCATAAATGAGATTATACTGAATTGGAGTTCAGACCATAAAAGAGTAATGAACAAAAGACCACCTCATCTATCTAAAGCACATAACTAGAAGAAACAGTCAGAATGTACAATGTACAAAGAAGGATGGCTCCCAGATGCCCAAAGGAAGACTATCCATCGAGAACAAAAGACTTTTGCATAGATGATTTGAACCCTGAGCTTGCAGCTGAGTGAGCTAGAGAGTAGTCTCCAAAAAGCTTGTAGCATCTGACTATGGAGATACTGTAACAGTGTAAGCTCCAGGACAAAAAGCAAAAAAAAAAAAAGAAAAAATTAGATATTATGACAGGAACTATACAAGCTATTAGCTGAAAAAAAATGAGAAAAAAAAAAAAAATGGAGAAGAGAATGAGATATTAGGTTTCATCTTCATAAGGATCTGACGGAGATTTTTATGTGTTGGCTGGCTACCTAACACACTACCCTCCTTATCCGGGCTTGATACCAACTGTGTAAAAGATTAAACACTAGGTACCACACAGGTGGAGTTAGAACTCACAACAAATTCCAAGGCCTCTGAAAAGGCTTAGTTTGGTTTGGTTTGGTTTGGTTTGGTTTGAAGAAGATAGTGAGATATAGCCCATTCCAAGGCCTTAGACAAGCAATGAATGAGCCTCCCGTGGCACTATTAGGAAGACAGTGGTTAGAGGAGAAAGAGGATCCAAGAACACATTGTTCTTTTTAGCAACCCAAGCAATGCCGGTGTAAGGAACTGTGAGTGAATACACACTATTAAAATAAAGGGGAAACTACAAATCAGTGGGAGGTGGGGCAAATAATTACCAAAAGGTTGGATTTATTGTGGGATGCAACAAATTTTATTATCTTTTTTGGGTGTGTTTTTCTACACAAAAAAGACTGGCACCCTCATGTATCTGTAATTATTTTTGGTCAAATACCCTGATCTGTAGTTGTCCCTAAAACACATGCCAAGTTGCTAACACTGATCAGAGAACTAGGAGAGGGATGAAAAATGAAAGCAGGGGGGATAGAAACATTTGTTGTGGAAAATGAGGATAACTAGGTGGGTAAGAGGGAATTGAGATTGGTGATAAGAGAAGAAAATACTATCTATGATGGTCATGGCTTGATGACCAATGCCAAGAGGATTAGGGGAAAGATGTGTTCTGAGTATTCCACGCCCAGGCCAAGACTGGTAGGAAACCAAACAGGTCTGATGACTTCGCAAAAAAAAAAAAAAAAAAAAAAAGAAAAATATGCTTGATTGTTTCAACTCTGATAGAAGAAATAGCAGGGGGTATTATTTGAACCCCCACTACAACTTCTGATTCAGATGTTTGTTAAGACACCTTTATATGCTTATTTTTTTAGCCATTGCTGTTAGTTGCAAGACTTCAACACTGATGGTACCTCAACATATGAGAATCTTCTATTTATTTATTCATATAATTATTTTGTTTTTTTGTTTTTTTTGTGTGCGCGCCACAGAGTGTTACAGAGCTGCATGATGGGTCAGCTCTATTTGTCACCGTTGCAAAGTATTTATCACCAGCACTTCATGACATAGATCAGGTTGGCATAACGCCTGATGTACAGTGCACAACTGAAATGCTCAACTCACCACAAAAGAGTAAGAGCATGGCCTCACCTTTGGAAGCAGATACATGTATCATGGTAGCAGAGCATGAGTTGGACATTCAGAAGTCCAAAGGTGCTGCCTCGTAAAAGCCATTTGACTTTGTACTGTAGGTTTTTTTTTTTTTTATTATTTATTATTTATTTTGAACAAGTGGAAGTACATTTGAAATATGCTGATAAAAAAAAAAAAACATTTCAAAACCTTCGGGAAAGGAAAAATTCAGGTACTGCTAATTACTTTGAAGAGTGAGAAGTTTTCTATTAGCTTATTTTGTCACTCCTGCACTTAAGATGCAAAGCCTTAGTGCATTGAAGTACCTATTTCATATAGGAAATGTGAATCAGACATCAAATGTGTATCTCACCTTCATGGTTCAAATCCTGTAAGTAGCAATTTTCCTGTTTCAGAGTGGTGGTTATAGGCATTTGAGTTACTTAGAATTTGTTTATTTATTTATTTTATTTTTACTAGCAGAAGAATTCTATGCTCGGCATGTAAATTGGCTTCTCATGCTCAATGTAGTAGAAACAAGTCTCAGGCAAGTTTCAATGGAAATTAAGAAAAAGCTATTGGTTTATTTTCCATAATAATACAAGAAAAATATATAAAATAAATTAGATAGAAATGACAAAATAATCTTTTTTTATTAAAGAATTAAATACAGAATAATCTACACAACTAAAAATACAGAAATGAATTACATTACATTACTAATAGAACAAATTATTAACATGGATAATTAAATATTAGAACTCGTCGAGGTAAGTTAAATTCTGAAAAATTAAAGAACAAATGATAAGAAAAGAAGATACCATAGTTTCCTTAAAACAGATTCACCGTCTCTCGATGGGTGCTGGAGGTACCCCGGTGTCTGTCTCTCAGGATACGACAGTCGAAACCAATTAATGCAGAAGTACATTCTTAATAGTTTCGGCAAACTTGACAATGACATCACTCTCTCTCTAACAAGAACCAAAGAACGGGCTACTTTGGTGTAAAAATCATCTCTAACTTTATTATCTCAAAACACCATCTCATTTTCCATTAAAAATCTCTCCAAAAATTAGATTCTCAAGTTGGAGGGAAAAAACCTCTATTTATACAAATAGGGGAGTCTCTAGTCATGAAGGTTATCATTATGAGAGCCATCAAATGCCATTAGCCAAGACCATCAACTCTAGCCATTAGGCTTAGAGTTACAAAGGTTCAAAACTCCAAAAACATTAGATAAATCATAATGTATATAATGCATAAGTTTTTAGAATTAAACTAGATGGGCCACAAAATAGATACGGGTGTTGGGTCACAACCCGATCTAAACCCGATCTAAACCCAATCTCAAACACATGCATAAGTTAAGCCCATGTAGACACCCCATTTTTGACCGTCCTCAAGACTTGGACATCATCATTTGAACACTCGATGATCATCCATGCTCGTGTTCGTTTTGAGTTTCCGAAGGTCTCAGCTGCGCACTTTGCCTTAGGATCTCTCAACTTGTCTGTTTTGTGCTTGGTTGTGGACCAAGGACTTGTGGTTTTGCTTCTGAGGGAAGAGGGTGGCTTGTTGGCCATCCCCTCAACCCATCGGCTAAGGCATTGTGCCATCGGCCATGTTTTCTTGCCATCGGCCAAAAGTGGTGGCCCATCGGCACTTTTTTTGGTCAATCGGCACTTTTTTTGGTCGATCGGCCATATTTTTGAGCCGAGACCTTTCCATCTGCTTTTTGTAGATATTTTCTGCCAGCTGTGACAGCTTGTATGCACAATTTTGATCCTCCATACACGTGTATGGAGGAATTTGTTTCAAGACTCAAGCTTGTTGAACAAGCTTGAGAATTGAAATTCTATAAGAAGGGAGCCTCCTCTCCCTTTCCAGAGATTATGAAAATTGCATACACAAGTTATATATATCTCTCTCTATATCTCCCTCTCTCTCTATATTTTGTGTGTGTTTGTGCCTTAAAGTGCATTTTCTTCACACTTTTGCACTAGAGCACCTAGTAATACACCATCCTTTGGTTGCTGAGGTCCTTAGGAGTTGGTTTTAGAGTTCTTGGCGTAGTTTTGGTCAGAGAAAGTTGTTGGAGTTGTGTTCTTGAAGGTGTTCTTCAAGGGTGAGCAAACTACCTTTTAATCCCCTATTCTTGCTTAAGCTTTTAGACCTACTTGCATATTTTTTTTAAGTTTAACTCTAAACTGTAAAAAGTTCTAATTTTGCATGCTTGTGAAGTTTGTTTAAGGTCACTTTCTGGTTGGGGGTTGTCTATCTCTTCTTAGGCCTTGTTTGGCCTAATTTTGTGCCATTCTTTTTGGGCTTTGGAACCATCTTGTTTTGACCTTCTCACCACTGAAATCCAGAGGATTTTCAGTGGTGGAGAAGTGGTTTTGGAGTCTTGAATAAGAGAGGGACACCCCCCTCTCCTTGTGTCTCATTTGCTAGTATAAATGACTTATATTGGTAGCATGTTTGCTTAGCATGTTTTGGCTTCATTTCAGCAAGTATTTGGTGTTATTTGGCCATGCTATACCTCTGTTTTAAGTTGGTTTGATAGCCTCTTACATGCATCATACACTTGTCTTGCAATCCTCTCATTTGCCTTAACATGCATCATGCATTTGGACCATCATGATTGCATATTTTGGCTCAACTCAAAGGAGCTTTTAGCCATGTTTTACCATGTTTAAGCTCTGTTTGGTGTTGTTTTAGTCATGCATGCATTATTTTGTATAGCCTTGGTTCAATCTAGCTTGTTGGCTTTGAGTGTCCAAGTCATTAGCATGCATAGCTTCGACCATTTTCATGATTTGGCATCATTTCATATATGATTTCAGTCCATGTGGTGTAGCCATATACTTGCATTTGTCATCCTTTCAATGCTTTGAAGAGTTGGTGTTTTATGCTTCAAAAATGGATCATTGTACATGCCTCTATGTTTAGGTCTTTAGGATGCCATCTCAATGGGTTTTTGGGCTTATTTTTACATGTCATAACTCTGTTTTTCATTGGTTAAGTCATGCCATGCTTGGTTGTAATAGGTGTAGTGTAACACCCCTTGTTAGCTTTGCATGCCTCATGCCTTTTGGACTTTTGTTGGCTTGTTTTAGCTTTGGCCCTTGCATGTTTTAGACTCCTTTTATCATGATCTAGGACTGTTTTGGTTGTCCTTGGCTCTTTGGGGCTTGATTCATTTGGCCTTAGTACAAGCTCTTTGGCTAGCCTTAAGCCTTGAGCTTCCTTGCATGTTATGCTTGACTTGTTTATGTGATTTGGCATCATTCCTAGCATTATTTCAGAGCATGTAATATTGTCACATTTGCATGCTTTTCACTCTTTAAGTGCTCTTGAGAGTTGTCCTCTTTATGCCTTAATTCTTGGGCCAATTGGCATGCATGTTTTATGTACATTTCATACCATTGTTTCATTATTTTGGCCACTGATTTGGGCATGGCTGAGGTCTGCCCATTTTGGTTTAAATCCATCTTTGCATGTTGTTGCATGCTTGTCCATCTTTGTATGCCATACATGTTCGTATGTCTAGGTTGCATTTTGCATGCTTGCTAGTTTGCATTTTGTCACATGCTTGTTTAGGTTACATTGCATTTGGCATGCTTGTTACCTCAGCCTTGTGTGCATGTTTGATTCATATTGCATTTGGCATGCTTATGTTGCATTGCATAGTTTTTCCATGTTGCATACATTGCATTGTGTTTGGTTTGGGGTGTCAAACCAAACACGAGGACCGAGGGACGTTTCGTACTTGAAGTGACGAAATGTGCCTCAATCCTCGGTCGCCGACACTCTTGATCTAATATGATAGAGTGTGAGCCATTCATGTGTTTTGTGCATTCATTCCATATTGATTTGTGCAAATTCGGCCTCTTTGGCCATCATGCATCAAAATGCGTGATTGATGGCTCGAGAGTCGAGCACTACACTCCTTTGAGTCCCAAACATGATAAGGGGTGTAGTTGCACAACATTTTCTTACAAATGTATTGCCATGCCCTTGTTTTCCCTCTACTGCAATAACAGGAGCAGTCTGCAGGAAATGATGGCCGATCGGCTATCTTCAGTGCCGATCGGCTAACATTACTTGGCCGATAGCCCTATAAGTGGTCGATGGCCCTTATACTTTGGCCGATGGCCATACCATTTGGCCGATGGCCTCTCACAGTGTTCATGAAGTGGTCCAGAAGCATCACAGAGATTTTCACAGTTTTCAGAGGTGCAAAACAGTGTAAACAGAGGCAACATGAGGCATGGCAACGGATTTTCGAGCGAAGCCGACCGAGCATGCATATGTCCCTCTTCTCGAGGAAGATTTAGCTGTTTTTGTAACTTAATTAATTTACTTAATTAGTTAAGAGTTTTGTAATAATTAATTAGTTAGGGTAGTTAATTAATTAGTTGATTTGTATTATTTATTTAGACCCTCCGTTGAGAGGGCCAACTGTTGTAATAAGTGTGTGTGAGTGTGTGAATGTCTTCCAACCCTACGTCTTTCTCCCTTTTACTTACCTGCTTTCAATGGTTAGTTTTAGGTCATGTTTCAATTAGCATCCTTATGATAGCATGCATGCATCCATTCATTTGTCTTACATGCACCGAGCTCGGCGCATCATACTAACCACATTGTATTTCAATTCCTACTTGAATACATGATTATCAAGTTGCATTTCATATGTCATTTTAGAATAGCCGAGCCTATTTCTAGTTGCATTTTGCATGTGTTGCATTAGGCATTGTTGACATTGGTAGGATCATGCATTGATTACTAACTAGCTATTGTTTTGGCTCGGAGTACTAGGTAAGCTTTTACGCTTTAGCATCTTGCATGAGTGTGAGTGTTACCATGACAGCATGCTTGCCATGAGGCTACCTGGTTATGTGTTTAACTGCCTGAATGCCTATGGGTGAAGGTTGGATTACTTGAATTGGAACAATTCATCGAAATGCGAGTTTTAAGCCCACTTGAGCGTGGCAAAATCATGTTTTCTAAGCCCACTTGAGGGTGGCAAATCCACGTCTTAACCTACTTGTGAGTAGCACATTCAAACCATTTTCAAACAAACATGAGATGTTTGGTTCCAACTTAGGCGATCTAGTTTATAATTGTGTGTTGTGCG